AAATGTAAGGCTCACAATTCAGACTTTTTCCCCCCTCAGGATTGCAAAAAAAGTCAGATTTGTGAGATATAAACACAGAATTGCACAAAAATTGTTTTGAATTGCTGAATTGTAAAAAAAAAAAAGACCTTTTTGATTTTTTTTTTATTCCATGGAAGAAACAAGCTTACATAGAAAATAGCACCACATTCTCGACATACAAACTAAACAAAAATCATTTGACAACTATTGACACATTATGTTCATGCAACATTTTAGCTACCACATAAGCCTAAGGATGATAAAGCAGGAATCCCTAAAACATTACAACCTGTGGACCAACATATATTAGTATTCTGACATGCAGACAGGCCTGTGGTTGTTTGAGACGGCTAGGACGGCGCAATGAAAAAGAAAAAATCTGAACTGAAATGTTACATATGTGCTTAGGAGAGGGGTATTGGGTCCATTCTTTAACACACTTACTCAGTGTCTTTGCTCCGTACCCGTCCTCCCCTATTCCAGAGATGTCCTACACCACACAGCCGATCAGAGAGGCGAGGGGGGTGGAGAGAGAGAATGAAAGAGGATGGGAGACAGAGAGACAGAGGAAGAGAGAGACAGTGAGGTTGTTGGTGGGGCGGGCAGTAACGCCAGAAGAAGAAGGAGGGCATGGGCTTCCTGGAGCTACCTACACACCTAGACCTTTCAATCCACCCCGAGGATGCGTTTGTGTGAGCGTGTGCTGTTTTTATGTACCTACGTGTGAGAGTGCACGTGCGTTTGTGGCTACTTACGCTCCGAGTCACTGCCGTCTTGCTCGTCGGCGTCCTTGTTCTTGTAGAAAGGGAACTTGCGTGAAAAGATGAAGTTCTTTCTACGTTTTTCACTGAATGACTGTGCGGAGAGAAAGCATGGTGCAAACAGGGGGCTCTAAACGCTGTCACAATCATGCTGACAAAAACAACACAACGACTGGAGCTGGACGTGAGGGACAACAGCTAGGAGACAACCAAACATCCAATTGTTTTTTACTGGCAGGATCATTCACCTAAATGAGATTAGTAATTAACTCATATTAAATACGCTTTTATTTGTACCGAACTAATTACATTGTTTTTGGCTCAAACTGAAAGTACTTGGATGATCCTGAATAGGTGATCTTTGTTTGTTGTGAAGGCTGATCCGAACCCCGCTGTCCATGACGTCACAGCACCTGAGCTGTTTTCAGACAGCTCAAATGTATTCAAATTAAAACATGATCAGTTAGAAGGAACATACAAGGGAGGTAAACAATGATAAACAAAAGACCAACTGAAGCTGGTTTAGTGCCATGCAATGGCAAAAGGGACTTTAAAAAAATACTTACTAACTCATATTAAAATACCAAGCATGCAGGACAGTCCTGACAGGGTGGCATGCTGATCAAAGGGGCCAAATTTGTGCTGCTTGTGTGTAGTATTATGATGTTCTGAAGGTGAATTGTTTTTAAAAATGGCTATGAAATGCAACGAAAAATAAATGAGGTAACATATATGTGACTGAGTTGATTTTCTAGCTGATTTGGTGAACCTGAGGTCAATATGCTGTCTGATATGAATGTAATTTTCCTGATTAATTACAATCTGTGATGGTGAAACCCGTCAAGAATATGTCCAGATCATCTTTTACCCCGAAATTAAAAGAAAAAATTATATAAAATTATTTGAATTATATTACATCAAGTCTATTTTAGGACCATTAAGATTTTTTTTGTATTATGAAATGTTATTGAAATTACTTTACACCCACTCCTCATTTTTCTAATGCAAAAACCATAAAGGAAAGAAACAACAAAAATTAGTTTTAAAGTTGTAAAGTATGAAACATCATTATAATTTATTTTCAATTATTTTTTTTACTGAATTTAATTAATGCTTTAATAAAAATAATCATTGTGTCCAGACATAATGTGATAGAGTAATGAGAATGAGATTTTTTTTTTTTTTACTTTACAATAATGAATATCAGGATTATTGTGCTTAATTATCAAGAACTGCAATGGTTTTAAAAATAGGCTTCATTTTCTTTTAACATGAACATAACATTTTTTTCTTATGATTTTGGGGTGAAATATAACCCAGACATTTCTTAAATAGATTAACAGATATATGCTTGTGGCAATACAATACATATATCATTTTGAGTGCCTTTGTGTGCATTTTTGTGGTTTTTGACTATTTTTTTCAGCACAGTGTAGGAATGAAACCAATTGTACCCCTGAAAGAAAATATTCATGACTATGCTAATCCTCTCTATTATAAGGCACATAAACATTCTTAATCAATGCATTTTCAATCAACAGTGAAATCCTATGATAAACCTGAAATGATACATACACAAAAGACAAAACCACACAACAAATCTTCAAGTAATCAATCAGTGCCAACACCCCCACCCCTCTCCCATCTTCAAAAGACAGAGGGAGAGAAAAAAAAAGAAAGAGAAACGAGAGACAAGAAAGAAATGGAAATTTGCAGGCCTGGCTGCAATGTTGCTATGGATACTAGTGGGAATCACAAGGCTAAAAATCTGAACGGCGCTGCAGTTGTGTGCCGAACTAAAAATACACCCTACATCCTTCAGTTTTATTCATTTCACCTCTCATGCACAAACAAGCAATATTTACTACAGATGACCTTACCATACTGATCTCGTAAAAGACGCAAAAGGAGACACATTTATGTACAAATGTAATACTGAGGCTGCTTCTGTGAGCTGCACTGCTGTACTGATGCTGAGAGCTCAAAGTGAGCTGTCACACTGCGGCAGAAGGACAGAGTCTCACACACACACACACACACACACTTTCACTCTGACTGACTCAATGACCCACCAGCACAACTTGAAATGGGGAAATAAATTCAAGATGACAGGGCACGACAGAAACTAAACTGGATAGACTGAAGAAAGGGAAGAGACAGACACTTAGATTACACTAGATGAGTGAAGAGACACAACAGGGGCTGCTGGTGAACTGTGTCTAAACTGTCATTAAATCATTGGGCCCTTCCTGCTTATACCTGAAAACTGGGGCGAATAGAATTTCGGATGTTGGCACTGATAAAACCATTTTAAAGACAATCACTCAACAAATAGAACACTTACCCCTTTAGAATCGAGGCTACCGGGTTTTGCGTTGAATTTAACCGTCTTCAGACGAGCTCGCTCTTTTCTTTCCACCCTGCCACAGTAATAGAGACAAAGTCAGTAAAATGTTCTACACAAATGTACGGTTTCCACAAAAAATATTAGGCAGCACAAACTTTCTTTTTGGTTTTCAACAGGTCATAGTAAGAATTGTTTCTCAAGCAGCAAATCAGCATACTGGAATGATTTCTGAAGGATCATGTGACACTGGAGACTGGAGTAATGGCTGCTGAAAATTCAGCTTTCACAGGAATAAATTACACCTTAAAATAGATTTAAATATAAAACTGCTATTTTAAATTGTAATAATTCACAATATTGTTCGGGTTTTTTTCTAAAATTTTGATTAAACAAATGCAGCCTTGGTGAACTTAAGAGACTTCTTTTATTAAAAATGATTGCAAAATTATTACCATACCCAAGCTTTTACACAGTATATACTTAGTAGTGTACATACAATCTGAAACAATCAAAATTTTGTCCTAATTTTGTTTGACATGACCATTTTGTTCCTGATATTTCAAATCAAACAGAATGTTCTGCTTTACATTTAAGACTTCTTTATGTAAATACAGAGGAATTAACAGACAATAATGTGATAGGTTAATATTAATGAATGACCCATTTTTACGGTTTATTATTCACATGGTGTATTCAACTCTTTCATATCAGAAGAAGAAGGTAAATTCTGTTTTTCATTGTATGTTCTCTTTAAAGAGCCAACTTAAATATAGGGCAGTAGGGTGACGATTAGAAGTAGGGCTGTCACATGTAAATTTAGTACAATTAATTATATAAAAAAAGTTCAGTAAAAATATTACTCCTTCAAAAAGAAGCACTCATGTTATGTTTTTTAATAATTCATTTACATAATTTAGGTGGCTGTGCCAAGTAAATATTGATATATGCAATTTATTGAGATTAATTTGATAACTTAGCATATCAATGATATGTATTTGTATTTGATTGTATTTTTTTATTTATTGAGAGCTCTTTTTTTTTTTAAATTGTGGTTATTAAGTTACTACTTGGAAGAAAAAATGCTTAAAAAGGCGGTAATAAATCTACACTGGTCAAATGTTTTGTCTTTAGTCACGTAGTTGATTCAGCATGAAACTCACCTCCTCTTGCTGGGGATGACGCCCATCTCCTCACTGTCCCCTTCGAGCGTCACTCTCCTGGCCTGCCACCACTCATCATCAGATGCATTGATAACATGGAGGATGTCTCCATATCGGAAACTGAGACCCTGACTGGGAAGACCACTATCCTTTGCCCTCTCATAGTCAAACAGAGCCCTGCAGAGAGGCACATACACACACACACAACGTCAGTTTTACAGAGCTGACACATTCACGCAACATTTTGCATCCGTCTGTCACTAAAACAGTCTTGAATTGGCAGTAATGGCTGACTCATTCTAAAGCAGCATGCGTGAAATGTGCAGATACAGCTGTAAAAGGTACAATAAGTGCCACTAGCCACAGTCAGCACATATTATAGAGTAGCACACACTCCTCATAACTGTGTGTGTGTGTATAATGATGGTATGATGGGAATATGATGGATTGAGACGACAACTGAAAGCTTTGTTCTATTGCCTCGAAAATCTATAAGCGGCTGCCATCACTTTTCTTGCCAAGTTTGGGGAGGGAGGGAACATCATATTAAATTAATATATCTGTGGGATACAACTAGTGTGCCATTCTCTGGTCTGTTTTAAAAAAAATTATCAGTTAAACTATGAATTAATTCAGAAAATGTCTGCCCTTTCTACCTATCATTTCCTGTCTCCTCTCTGCTGTAAGGAAAACATATACTGTAACAGACACAATATTTCAAAAATATGCATACATTCAAAACTCTGGGGCCAGTAAGATTTTTTTTAATTCATACCTTTATTTCAAAAGGACGCATTAGATTGATCAAAAGTGACAGTAAAGACTTTTGATAACACAGTTACAAAAACAAAACAAAAAACTATTTCAAACAAATGCTGTTCTTTTGAACTTTCTATTTATTAAAGAATCCTAAAAAGTATCATGGATTCTACAAAAATATGAAGCAGCACAACTGTTTTCAGCATTGATAATAATAGTAATATTTCACCTCAGCATATTAGAATGATTTCTGAAGGATCATATGATACTGAAGACTGGAGTAATGACTGGTGAAAATTCAGCTTTACCATCACAGGAATAAATTACTTTCTAATTTGTAATAATATTTCACAATATTACTGTATTTTTGATCAAATAAAAGCAACATTGGATAGCATAAGAGCATAAAAAACATTTAAAAAAATCTAATCAACCCTAAACCTCTGATTGTCAGTCTGTAAACATGGAAACCAGGTCTTTCTCAGATGCTGCAAACCTCAAAATATATTACTATATGATAAATTTCACATAATTTTGAATGAGAAATCTCAGCTCCTCCACATAATAGAAAACCAGTAAGAGAGAAGCACAGATGAGATCAGAAATGCGAAGCCATTTCAAAGGCGATCACAGTTTACTATGCACTCCTGCCATCTGAAGTGGGTGAATCACTATGCGGTGACAGAAGAAACCTCTCATTCATCCTCATATGGAGGAGCACTATCCAGAGAAACAGGCTATCGTTTCAAAAATAACCATGATTCACGTACTCATCCTTAGAAAGAGACACAAACACTCTATTTAAAGAGCAGATTTTATACTGATGATGTAGACTCAAAGACCAGATGAAAACAAGAGTTTAAACCTGAACTGTCTGAGGGAAGCATGTGGACTGGAGTCACCCATTGATCTTTAGTGTGCACTTCAAAAATAAGCAGGAGAAGTAATAGTTGTTTTGTTTTATTTTTTTATTTTTAATTATATTCTCAAAATGTGCCAGCAAAAACACTTTTTACAGTTTTAAAGTCATGCTGTTTTCACTGTTATCTACCTCCAGGAGGGCAGTGTGGATGATCAAGCGGTGAAGCACAGTAAAAGAAAGCACTATAGCTCAGACGCATCCGCACACAAAAGAACACAGGCTGCCATAGTCTCCTACAGGCCAGCCCCACTGAGTACATAATACAAGAGATAACAGCAATAATGCCCATTAAACTCGTTCCTCCAGGTATATTTAGACACTGCAAGCCTAGCCAAAATGCTTCAATGCAGACCTGTGATAAGCTGAATCAAGTGTTATTGCATTTCATGTTTCTCTCTGTCTATACAATTTCTTATTCTGTTTATTCTGTATTCGGTGAAAACAAAGGAGTCTCACTGTATGATACCCACCTCCTAACGGAAACGCTTCAAAATGAATTGCAATCAGAGGTTAACTAACTTTGACCCCTTGATGTAAATGTAAACACAAAAAATAAGTGGATGTCTGATAACTACAAAAACAGGCATATATTAAAGAGATTTATCATTTTAGAACTGTTCCTAAAATGCAGCAATGACACACACTAAACAGCACTTCACACATTTTTAGCCCTGATAAAAGCTCTCAGATAAGACAAGGCTCTCCTGAATAAAAGTGTGAGAGTTTGGGAAACAAAAAACAAAAAAACAATCAAACAGGTGATACTAGTACACTAGCCCCGTCTTCTCTGTTCACTGCTAGCACTCACATCACCTCTCCTTAATATTGCCTTTTGTAACCATGACAACACATCTGTTTTGGAAAGGAAACAACAACAGGATGAACATCATATCATGTACATATCTTAAAATATATTATATTTATTGTGGAAATAAATAGGTAGGTATTACAACTGTGATTGAAATGATTTATGAAAAGTTAGATTATATACGCTACCAAAAGTCTGGGTCGATAATATTTCTTAATGTTTTTGAAAGTCTCATTTCGTTAAGAAATGCTCAAATAAGTTTGGAAAGCTGTGGGGCCCCCTCTTTCAGTATATTAAAGAGAATGGTTCTTTACTCAGTCCTGATAGTTGATATAAGGCTTGATTTCTGAAGGTTGTTTTACAAATCTCATAAACAGCTTGAATAATGGATTAATATTTATTTATATATGTATTATATTATATTATATTATATTATATTATATTATTATTAGTTATTATTATTCTGACTGTGCATTGTTTGTTCATGTTTGTTCATGTTTTTTTTTTGTAGTTGCTTTGTACTTTATTTTGTTAGTATTGACACACATTGTGTTTATCATTGCTTTCTGTTTCTGTGTACACTCTTTTCTGTGTAGAAAATTAATAATATAAAAAAAAAAGTATATTGTCTTTATGTTGTTTCTACACTAATTTGAAGATTGAATGTGAAATTATTGCAATATAAAAGTATATTTAAACCTCACTGACCCCAAACCTTTGCATATTGTGTTGGTGATCAATATCATCCAAAGGATGAAATCAATGAAAATATACACAAGCTACCCATACTGCACTGCTGTGAGCAGATATCTACATGACAAAATGAATGGGTTGCACATAATGGCTGGCACATATACTGCTCTAATAGATGGAACATTGAATCTCACAGATGTCATTTTACAAGCATGCATTATTCCACAACAAACACAATATTAAGACAACTGATCTGCATTTCAGCTGTATTTTTAGCACAAAATGCTCTAATAGTCATGTGATGGTGCAAATGGGTCTGTTTGGGTCAATACAGTGCAACATTATTTATAAAGCAGGCAATAATATCCAGCATAATGGTGGTTAGTCACCATTACGGATCTGTTACAAACCATACTGAGTGCAAAAAGCAATCATCTACACTATACACGAACAAAGTGTTGTCTTCAATGTCCTCATTAACCCTTGCTTCATTAAAGGATAAAACACACACACTCACACACATACACATTGGAACACATGCCTAGGGAAAAAAAGCACATCTTCCCTCTCATCGGCCAATAAAGACGTTAAAGGTTGTTATGGAAACTGCAAGCTACGTGCAGTACAGTGGAGATAAATAATATTTTTATATGTTTGGATGCTGGCAGGTTCTCAGCGTATTTCAGTGGATTCATTCCTCCATGGCATCATTATAACAGTGATGCTTCTCAAGACTCTTCCAAAAAACAGCATGTGCAAGTGCAACCTGCTGACAAAAACTCAACATTTACTGTCATATGACACATACTGAATAATGCGCTCTCCCCTCTGCAGTCATTATGAGCCCTTATGATAATAAATAGAACATATTCTTGTCTGTAAACCATTCAACTGATACAATTACTGATAAATTGATAAAGCTGATAGATCACCTGATGAAAGAACCAAAACATTATGTACCGCAAGAGCTGTTGCTTAGTGGTCATTCATGCCGGTGCTCATGTGGATTACGCAAATTCAGGTCAGTACTGTTTTAGCATTATTTATATACCATTATAGTATTTATTAATATTTTGAATTACCTTTTATTTTTATATTTAATTCATCTTTATATTTTATTTATAGATTTTTTTACTTTTTTATATAAATTTAACAGTGAATCTGGCTTAGTGCAGGTTTTTACACTGAAATACTGCATGCAAAATTGCCAAAACTGTTTAGTGAATGCGCCCCTGAGTATTTTTTTTTTTCTAGTGATTTATTGTGTGGATCTTGCAGTAGAGCTGCAGGGCTGAATCTGTGTCTAACAGCAACAGAAACAGTACAGGTAGAGTATGTGAGTAATATACAATGCTCAGCAGAAAATGGTACATCCATGGGTGATGAACCTCATGGACAGCATTTTTCCACTAGAGCAAATGTCTGTAATAGGGCTGTGAATCTTTGGGTAGACAGCGAATCGATTTGATTCACGATTCATAGGTTTTCGATTCGATTCAAGAACGATTTTTGCAAACTCAGAACAATTCGATTCGATTCACAATTAAATTCGATTCGATTCGATTAACGATTCGATTCTGCATTCTTTAAGTGCATTCACATGATTATTTAAATGCTTCCCCTAAATTCTTTAAATGCTTAGTCAGGGGGCAAATTACACAGCAGCCTTTATGGTTAGAGAACCATAGGTTAGTGAAAAAAAACACTTTTGTCCATTGTTAGATGCTAGTTTAATAATGCTATGGCATGACATGGCATATGTAGAAATTTATATAAGCCAAGATTTAAAAAAAGAGCTTTAAAAGTATTATGTATAGGCATGGGTCGCGGAAGCGGGGGGGCCGCCCGGGCCTGGGCCCGGGTTACTTTTGAGGTCTGGTACAAATATGACGGGCTAGAAAAATACATATGAGCCTTATAGCCTATGTATGCACATTTAATCATTAAAAGATCACGATCTTGATTCAAACACACGCGATCTTATTACTAAATGAC